GGGAAATGTGGGCTGCAGTCACTGTCCGTCACGAGCACCGTGGCTGCTGTTACGTTTACGGGCTCACTTCTGCCTTCTCTCCACAAAGCAGCGCGGGGAGAAGTGGGGACACCCCAGGCTCCGGCTTGCACAGGCTGAGCTTCAAATCCTGGCCATGCTTAGGCAACTGGCTACCACCTCTCTGAGCCTCAGTTTACTCATCTGTAAAATCGGGGGGGGGGAGTGTTTATATCTCCCTCCTAGCATGGTTTTGAGAAACAAATGCAATCACTCACTGGGATGCAGAAAGAGGCCCTGCACCCAGGAGGCAATCCCAGGAGGTTAAATCCAGGCTGCGAGGGGGAGCTCTGTGACCAGCCCTCCTGACTGTGGAGTGCCGGGAACAGCGGGTGTATGCGAGGGAAGGGGGGAGAGCCTGCTGCGTGTTACCAGCTAGGAGAGGTGGCTTCAAAGCAGAGTGAGTGCAGGGACAGGCGAGTGCCATCCTGCCCGGCCAGGACACGTAGAGGTCAGCCAGGAACAACTGACTGGGGGTTGTGACACCTCTGCAAACGGCCAAGGCCTGGCTAGCTGTCTTCTTGGTGTCAAATGACAGCAGAGCTCTGGAAGGCGGAGGGAGGCGGCGGCCAAGGCCAGTCAGCACTGTTCCTGTGGCGTCCAAGGTGCGGAGCAGGGACACCGGAAAAGCTGAGGGGATGTAGTCGATCAGCTCACGGGAGCCCACCAGCAAGTCCTGAGGAATTAACTGCAGGGCCCGGCAGTGACTCCTGCACTCTCCAGAACAATGACCTTGGTCACTGGGACCCACCCACCTGGGACGCCCACCTGTACCCAGAAAGGCCTGGGAGGTGTCACATCCCCCAGTGACACTGGGAGGAAGGGACTGTCATGGTCCCCACTTTCCAGATGAGGAAGTTAAAGGTCACTGCCAGGGAGAGCTGAAGCTGGGACTCACATCTTAGCTTCCAGATTCCCCATTCCCCGAGTCAAGCCCAGGGTTTGCAGAGATGCCACTGGGGCCTCCTTTACAGATGGCTTCCCACTGTTTTGTGTCTACACTGTTCATTCATTCATTCATTCATTCAGCAACCATCCTCCGCAATATCACTAGCATCTACTCTAGATGCTGATCTGGGCCCTCACGAAATAATGTAAGCCAAGCAGGCAGCCCCTGCCTGCCTGGGGCTAGAATCAAGAAAACTGTTATAAATGTGGAGGGATAGCAGGAAACGGCACAGGAAGGAAAGGCATGGGCCTCCTGCCCTCCGTGACAACTGAGGCTGAAGAATGCATGGGTCACCGTGGGCCCGGAGCTGGCGTCTCTAGGTGCGAGTCCCAGCTCCGCCACTTGCTGGCTGGGCCTTGAGGAATCTACTTCACGGCCCCATGCTTCAGCCTCCCAGTCAGTGAAGCAGTGCCCACCTCGCCGGGCTGCTCTGACAGGGTCCCAGTATCCCACATGGGAAGTGTTCCTTTCGCGGGGTGCCTGGCCCCACCTGGCGCCATGAGTGCGCACTCACCACTCGGCCTGTTACTACGAGCGCCAGAGGCTGCAGGGTGCAAGGTACAGAGGCCCACAAATATGTCCCCTCCACAAGCCCCTCTGGGGGCTGGCTTGGCAGAGGTGGCACCAGCAGACCCAGGAAATTAGGTCAGAATGAGGGGCGCACGGAGCTCCCCATGAGCCCAGGAGCCTCAGGGCCCCCTTACAGCGACCTCACACAGTCCAGGATCATCTCCTCTGACCACTCCCCACCCCGGGCCCCCTCCCCACTCAGCTCTCTTTCTGCCTCTCCCCAACTGGCCTTTCCTTCTGGACCCCGTTCCAACTCTCTTGACCTCAATCGCACAGAACGAAGGCTCTGAATTCCAGAAACACCTGGAACATTAAAAAAAAACACTTTCTAATCTGGGCTCAGTAATGTAAAAACAAGTGTGTGTGTGTGCATGCGGGCACACAAACACATATGCACACTCCAATTAAGGATCCATTAAGAATTCATACATAGGATGTAAAATTTACAGACACGCACAGGAAAGAGCAACACATTCAGGGGAGCAGTTACACTGGGATGGGGGCGGGGACGCACTGAAGGTGGAAATGTGAGAGCAGAAGAGGAATGTGGGGCTTACGGTTTGTTTCTGAAAACAGTGGCTGGGTATAGGTTATTTCCTATGCCATCTGATGTGTCTACAATATCCTATGAAAATTTTCTTAAAAAGCTTTCAAGTACCCCAAAGAAATCAGCCGCTATAAAACGAAAAAGAATGAATTACTGATCCACACGCCATGGGTGAACCCCACAGATACTACACTGAATGAAAGAATCCCGACACACACATACCGTGGGCTCTGTTCCTGTGACTCGGAAGGACAGGCGGAACTCATCAAGGGTGAGGGAGGTCAGGAGCAGGGCGCCCCCTTGGCGGGGGTCCTGACTGGGAGGGGGCCCAGGGTGCTGCAGATTCACGTCTTGATCCAGAGGTGGCCATGTGGGTATGTATGTATGTAAAGAGCCATCCAGCTGCACACTTAAGATGACTGCGCTTTATGATCAGCTGTACCTCAATTTAAAACCAATTAAAATTTTAAGGAGAAAAAAAAAA